CGGTGGCCGATAGCGATGGCCGGGGTACTTTGCAATCCAGTGGCAACGACACCTTGATCTCAAATCACAAACCCCACGTCGGGACAGGCTCCGATTTGCTCCTGATCGGAGCAGTCGGACAGCCCTGCTGCCGGGAGGGGCCAGAAACCCCCTGGCTTGCCGGGACCCAGGTGGGACAAGGGCGGCAGAACGAGGGTCAAAACCAAGTGTTTATTTGGGAATTCTAAATTATGGATGATTTACTCCACTGGTATGGATAGGTTTTTTTCAGTCAGCTCCATCTCGTCCTTTGTCATCTTCCTGTAAGTAATGATTGAAGTTTGGACTGATACCAGGACTTATTTTTGGACCAAAACGTGGGACAGATGTTGGCATTTTGGTAGGACGCACCTAGTCGGACGCGTTCATCACCTTCTTCAGGACAAGGGACACACGGCCCCTGGGGTCGAGGTTGGTGTGCGTAGGGAGGCGCTGGCTCCTGAAACGGATGTTTCTCGCCCCAAACCCTCTCCGTGTTGGTCATTTATGTTCCCTTTTCAGCGCTGCTCTTCCTGGGTAAATGGTGGAAAATACCCTCAGCGGCGCACGGTGGGAAGCGGGAAAGCCTCTGGGGAGACCCCAGGTAACGGCTCCTTCCCCGCTGAAATAATCTGGGGCAGATTCCGGCTGCCCGGGCAGCGCCACTGAAGTCCAGCAACGCATCTGCCAGGGCTTCGCTGGGGGAAACTCCGCTCTCTGCCGCGGTCCGTTCCTAAACCTCAACCACGGAGACCATCAGCAGGACACAGCCCCCCGGGATCGCTGCGCTGAGCGGGAGGGACACCGTGCGTACACCATGACCAAAGCGCCCGTCGTCGATCTCGAGTAACGCGGGGCTGTAACTGCACTGGTGCCCGCTGGGGACCGGGTCCTGTTTACCCCTTGTCCCGGGAGAAGAAATTCCAAGAGAAGAGCGGAAAAATAGTAAGAAACAGCTGGGCCATTGCCAAAATCCCCGTGATGGGTTTCTGCACACCGGGCTGTGCGTCCCCCCTCAGCTGCTGCTCTCTGGGCCCCTTCCGTGTCGTGTCCCCATCTCCGTGTCCCCATAACGAGCCTGCGCTGATGGAGCCGGCCAAGCCCAGCCCCGTCGGCACCGCCGGTCCCCATGGC